CAGAATAGAATGGAAGGATTACGTCTCATCTCTTCTTTATAACACTCCTGCTAATTCCCCTCAGAATTGCGTGGGGTTTTTTTTTGGTTTTTTTTGGTTTGTTTTGATACAGGGTTATTCTGTTCACTCATCTTTGGCTTGTGCTCCACTATGACCCCCAGATTGCTTTCTGCAGTATTCCTTCCTAGGCAGTAATTTCCCATTTTGTACATGTACAACAGATTGTTCCTTTGCAAGTGGAGCAATTTACATTTGTAGTTAATGAATTTCATTTTATTTACTTCATACCATTTCTCTAGTTTGTCCAGAACATTTTGAAATTTAATGTGATTTTCCAAAGCACATGCAGCCCTTCTCCTTTTGGTATGGTCTGCAAACTTTGTAAAAGTATACTCTGTGTCAATATCTCAGTACTGAACTTGACCCAGAACTGTTCCTTGCGGGACCTCATTCATTATGCTCATCCAGTTTGACTGATAACTAATCTCTGGACATGGTTTTCCAACCAGTTATGCACCCACCTTATAGTAACTCCATCTAGGTCAGGGTATCCCCAGGTGGCTCTTAAGGAGCCATTCATACATTTTTTTTAAATTGCCCTGGGTCACCAAGTCTTCCTGAATTGTCAAAATGGGTCCCCATCTGGAAAAGATTGGGAACTGCTGATCCAGGTTGTATTTCCCTAGTTTGTTTATGAGAAGGTCACAAGAGATAGTATCAAAAACCTTTTAAAGTCAAGATATAGGGCGTCTACTGCTTCTATACTTCAACATTTTCAAAATGAAACATTTCAATTTTTCTGGCTAGATTCAGGCGCTGTTCACAAAACTGGGGAAAAGGAGGGTGGCTCCTCGGTTTATACTGAATATTCTAGTGCACTAGCCTGGTATATAGGAGAAGTAGGTTTAGATATCTCCTCTAGGCTACTGGCTGTTCCAGTGTGGGTCTGTCTTAGTCTTTCCCATTGAAGCAGTTTCACTTTGTATAAATACTTAAATATGCACTTGAGCCCAAGTTGACTGCCCAGCTACAGAATCGGTCTCACTCTCTAGCACACTTTCATATCAAATGTGGGGATTTTAACCTGGGTCCCCCATGTCCCAGTTTAGTGCCCACTAAGGAAAAGGGGTTGGTACACCACCATGGGTTTAGGAATGGTTCCTAATTCCCTTTGTGACACTAGCCTGAAAGTTTCCTTTGTGTTTATTAAACAAACACCCCAAATGAAACAAAGTATTTCCTTTTGAAGGAAGCATTTCATTCAACCCCAAAGGACATTTTCCAACTTTTGTGATTTGCTGAAAGTTTTGAAAACCTGTTGGTTATTTTAAATTTTAAAAAGAATGAGAACTGCCAGCAAACTGAAAAATCACTACTTGACAAGTAATAGCCATGGCAAGAGACTGAATGTTTATAATATACATGGCGGGGGGAAAGTCTGCCACTACTAAGCTGTTCAAATCTGCATCAGATGTCTCTGATGCCAACGGCGCTACATTTTTCATTTCAGTTGGCAATAAGGCATTTCAGCACAATTAAAATCACTGTCAGTGTTTCAAAATTACAAAAGTTTCTCTTCTCAAAAGGCATACTTTGAAGGGGTCCCTTATTAAGAAGGTTTTGAAATCCCCATTGATAAGTTGTTTCCTTTTGCTTTGCATTGTACTGTTTTGAAGCAAATTTGGATAGCCCTCCATCACAAAGTTCCCTGAGAATCCCCCTGAGAATATAAGGCAGATAATAAATATCAAGGAAGTTCTGTACTTACCATTCCCTTTTGGAAACTTTTAATGATCTTAGCTATAAAATCACTTTGGTTTTGTTTTAGGTCCTTTCTTTAGGGGCTAATTAAGTTCATTGAAATGCAATGCGGTGCATTTTTTAAAATTTTGGTGGGTACTGCTGTGCTATGATTAATATTTGTTTCACTGCAAATCTGTGGCACTGGAGGATCTTAATAGAACCCAATCTTGAACCATGAATATGAAAATTACTTGCCTGGAAATAAAAAAGTTTAAAGAAGTTAAGGGAGACTCTTCCAGTTTTTTAGTTGCATGATGTATAAGAAATAGGGCTGTTCCTGCATCTGTTCATAATGTACCAGCCCGGCTGGGCCACAGGTTAACCATAACCTGTAAGGGTGATGCTTACTGGTGAACCGGTTAATCATTCACATCCCTGTTAGATACTTACCTTTGTTTGAGAGGTCACCTCCCACCTTCTTCAGCCAAGAAGAATGTAGTGAAATCACCATAGTGAGCAGGGAGCTATCAGAAAATTAAGTAATCAGTGCCACAGTTTGATGGTTAGTATGTATTTCTCCTCTAGCTGCAAGTTCTGTTCAGAAGAGACCATTCGTTTCTGAGTTTAAAGGTAAAAAGCAATTTTTATATTTAATTGCTGACAGGGTTAAAATGTATGAAATTGATGCCACTGTGGTATCAACTAAAATTGACTATTAAATTCATCTGCAGACACAAAGGTAATTACGTTGTTTTGTTTAGCAATGGAAAGTATGTGCAGAAGGACATTTGAAAGGCCTAAGCATAAATTTAGAAAAGAAATCTGGGTTTGATCCAACATTACTGGGAAATTTGCCATTGAATTCAAAAAGAGCAAGATCTATGGATTTTACCATATGAACGTGACCTATTACCTTACATTAGTAATGTCTAGTTCTTACAGTGATAAACACATTACAAATGTTGCAGGGAGGTACCCAGCTACGTTAACTACATCAACAAACATTTAAAATGTATAATATACATATTTTTAATTAAAAGTTTTTAAAAAAATGTGTTAAATCGCTGCCCTAGATCCATCACCAGCTGTCAGGAATGTGAACAGGAACCTATATTGAAATACTCAGTATATGAAAACTTGGCATTTGGATTCTGCCATAAGTGCTAGCTAAGAATGTGATACAGAAGCAAGTAAATTGAGCCAATCCTATCTTTTAAATCCTATAAAATACCTTTATATGAGTGAATCCTTTTACACCATCAATCCTGGACTTTTCAGCATAGGCCCCAGTCCGGCAGCACTTTTAACCATGTTCCTGAAGTTAAGCATGTGCTTACGTGTTTGTTGGACTGGAAACCATAAAGCAAAAAGATAAATATGCAACACTGGATAGGAGGCCTGACTCTTCCAGAGGAAAAGAGTTTACTGCTAAAGACAACTTTATTGAAAAGAGTAAAAGAATAAGCTGATCCAGTATTTTGGGATATGGTGGGTTATGTGTGAGCTGCACATTTTTGAAAGTCGGGTAGATTTACTCTGAAGTATTTGCTCAACCTCATTACCGTGTATTACTGTATAGCTGTATATCACAGATAGGGAAAGCATGTATTAATAATAGGTCCAATCTTGCATGGGACTGAGAACCAACAGCTTAGTACTTGTAGGTTTGAGCCTAATATTTTTAATGCCACTATTTTAGCAATAACCATTTAAAAAATCAGCTACTTAAGAAGGTTAAATTAAATATAATAGTGTATCAATACAGTTAAAATGAAGGCTGGGGTTATCACTCTGCAGGCCTCTCACTGATTATATGTGTAGGGTTTACAGGGACAGTCAATAGACAGCCTGTGGGCCAAAGCCAGATTCAGAGACAACCTGTTTACCTGGTGAATGTGTGTCTGAGCCTAAAAAATGTTGAGTGCCTCCCACCAGGAACTGTGCACCTGTGGTTCCTGTATGTGGTCATTAGAATGTATGTAGGTTCAGGATGCATGGCCTGTGTTTTTTACATCCTTCTGGTTCAAACGGCCTCTAACCTAAAAGTGGTGCCAAGCATGTACTAAGATCAGAACCTTCCGCCAGGAGAGAGATATCTGTCATAAAGTCATAGCACTTAAGGCAGAAGGAATCTCTATATCATATATTCTGGCTCCTATAAATCACAGGTCCTTCACTTCTCTGTTAAACCTCCCAGGATCATATTCTTACTCTAGTTTTTAATTACATATTCTGTAATTTGTGTTTTTCTTTGGCAGTTGCATTTTCAGGCCTTGGCTTTACGACCTTCTACTTAGCTGGAAAGTTGCACTGCTTCACTGAAAATGGCCGAGGGAAAAGCTGGCGGCTTTGTGCAGCAATTCTGCCTCTCTATTGTGCCATGATGATTGCCCTGTCACGCATGTGTGACTATAAGCATCATTGGCAAGGTGAGTCATGGTGATGCCTTTCCTTGTTATTATCCCTGTAATCCAGTGGTTAACATTCTGAGAGCATCTGGGATGGGGCAGTCATAGCTTGTTGACTTGATGCTACTTCTAGGTGTCATTTGGTCCCTACAGTGTGTGTGAATATGACAGAGGCCCAGTATAGCTGTGAGCTTTTACATGCGGATGAATGCCTGTGAACAAGTGTTGGCCCAATACAGTAGGACAGAAAAATACAGGACTTTTTCATAATGATACTAGATGGATTTGGGCATAATAAGACATAAAATAGAATAGGAATGGTGACAACTTTTGCCCAAGCTGAAGGCTTTGCTGAAAAGCTGTATATTTTCTAGCCTATTAAAACTTTTTAGTAAAAAAGAAGTTTGGGTAAAAGGTTATAGTCATTATGGCTTTGGAGGAATGAGAACACCTGTTTCCCAATTTTGTAAGAAAAATCTATCATAGTCACATCATGTTCAATGCAAAATGATAATTTTCCATAGCTTCTGGCAGCTAATATTTTGAATCCAGTGTTTTATTTCAGGATGCACTCATTCCCAGAGTTCGCTGAACTGGATTTGTTATGTACAATGTATGCTGTACCAATGTATGTTCACTAAGTTGCAACTGCAAAGTAAAATATTCAGAATTTACTTTATTGTAACATGGTTTTTTTGGGAGGAACATGCAGTGCTTTTCTGATCTGCAGTTAGGGAAGATGTTACTACTGTAATATTAATGTATATAGAATAAAAGGATGTTAACATAAGCCAGTGAGGGTATGTCTACACTGCCACCCTAGTTCGAACTAGGGTGGCTAATGTAGGCATTCGAACTTGCAAATGAAGCCCGGGATTTAAATATCTCGGGCTTTATTTGCATGTTCCCGGGTGCCGCCATTTTTAAATGCCCCGTAGTTTGAACTCCCTGCCCGTGGCTACACGGGAGCCGCAGGAGGAGTAATGGTAATTCGAATTAGGAGCTTTAATTCGAACTACCTAGTCTGTGCCGCGTGTAGCCGTGGGTGGGGAGTTCGAACTACGGGACATTTAAAAATGGCGGCGCCTGGGAACATGCAAATATAGCCCGGGATATTTAAATCCCAGGCTTCATTTGCAAATTCGAATGCCTACATTAGCCACCCTAGTTCGAACTAGGGTGGCAGTGTAGACATACCCTCACTGTCCAACATTAAACAGTTTTTGCTTCTACCGAGACCTGAGCCTGATTAGTACCATAGCAAACACACCATTCAAAATTCTTTAACCTTTCATTAAAGATAAAAAAAGAAGGAAAAACAGTTAAATCATTTGAAATGCAAAGTATTAAGTGAGGTTTTCATGAATTTTCCCTTTAGCTAAAGTTATCAGAAGGGGGAAAAAAACCTTCTTTGGCAATCTATTACATGGTACTAAAGGCAGAAATAACTGTCCTTTTCGGTAAAAGAGAACCTAGATGAGATGAGCTAGAGCTATTGTTACTGCTGCTATTGTTAAAATCCTATTTTGCTTAATCTAAGGGCAGATCTAAACTGGGGGGTGAAAGCTGACTTAAGATACTCAACTCCAGCTACGAGAATAAGTTGAATTTCTGTAGCATCCCCATTGTGGGAGGACGAGAGGAGAAACTCATTGACTTCCCTTACTCCTCACAACTCTGTGAAGTACTAGGGTTGACAGGGGCACCATCAGTGGTTGATTTAGTGGGTCCTTACTAGAACTGCTAAATCAGTCCCTGGAAAATCGATCTCCAGAGTGTCAGTCTATGGGTAAGTATAGCCAAGGCCTTAGACATTTTTAGGATTTAGCTCAAGTAGGTAGGGAGACCAATGACATTTGAATCCCTTTCTCCAGCATGATCTGGTCAGCACTTCCCTAGGATCAGGGCAAAGAAGAGCACGGTTCTAGGAAACGATGATGTTAGCCATGGCGATGGATCTCACGCCAGTAACTTCCTTCTGTTCTATTTCCCCCCCAGAGTATTTCCTTAAGGTCCCAAGTAAAGGGAATGATGGATGAAATAGCCCATCCGCTTGTTATGTTGTTCACCAATTAGATCTGATATCCGGCACATCAACTGCGGTTCCTTATAATCCAGTTACATATCTTTTGTCTTTACCAAGCACAGTTTTGACATAGATCTTGAACTATAGCATGAGACATTTTTGTTTTGACTAATTCGGGGCGGGGGGGGGGGGGGGGGGGGTTTTTGTACCTGTTGGCATTAACATTTGCTATTATAAGGTTAATGTGACATTTTATGACCTTTCACATATTTTTTTTACAGTTGAGCTCACAATTAGAATTAATTTATAGGCCCAATTATCATAAAATAATTCCTTTTTTTAATGAAGCAGTTACACCTAGGACCTGACATTTGTTCAAAAAAAATCACAGTTACAAAGATTTTTGTACCTGTTGGCATTAACATTTGCTATTATAAGGTTAATGTGACATTTTATGACCTTTCACATATTTTTTTTACAGTTGAGCTCACAATTAGAATTAATTTATAGGCCCAATTATCATAAAATAATTCCTTTTTTTAATGAAGCAGTTACACCTAGGACCTGACATTTGTTCAAAAAAAATCACAGTTACAAAGAAAAATCTCATTTTATCTCATGCATATAGGGGGGAAAGGAAATGGAAAAGAAACTTAATTATTGTGTAAGATTTTTAATTTTCTTATTCTCATACTGGGATTTACAAATATTACTTTATTAAATATTACCAACATTGCAGTTAAATTTTCCAGATGTTAACAATACCAAGAACTTACAACTTGGTTAATTTGTAGCTAAAACTCTTGCTGATATGTATTTGTAAGATGTTTAAGAACAAACTTCATTGTATGCCCAGGATGGGTAAAGATGGAAAAAATACCCCCCTCTTTTGCCACTTACACAGTTAAATCTTTACATTTACCCAAGTCACGAATATTTTATGCACTAGTGTTTGATTGCACACTTGGGGAAAAAATCTTTAGTTCTGCTGGCGTTCTTACTTAAGTTTGTTGCCTCCTTTAAAAAAGAATCAACAAATTGCTGTTCTTTTGCAACATCCAAAGAGGGAAAACACAAAACCACAACAAAACATTTGGAAAACAAAACAATCAGAAACATCACCAAAAACTTTGGTGTTGCAAGAGCCCTTATTTTAGTAGCTTGATATTCAATTCAGTCAGTACAGTAGCAGCACTGTATTAAGCTGGTATTTTGTTAACAAAGAGAAATTACCCAAGAAGTCATTTCAGAAAAAAATCTGCTTTAGCAACTTAACCGTCAACAATTTAAAATAGTTTAATTTTGCCAGTTTTGCTTTTTCTTTAAAATACTTTTCTGTTAAACCTGCAAAGCTGTTACTTACTATTGAAACTACAACACCCAAAACAATTAAAAAACGAAATGGTGTTTGTTCAATAAATTAATAAATATAAACTTTAAAAACAATTGTTTGGTTCTTTTTAAACAAAAGTATTTTTTTACTAATTTTAAAGCAAAACATAGGAAAGTGGGTATAGCCTGTTCAATTTTTTCCTTTTCCTTTTTTATTATTAGAAAAATTTAAAAATCCAGTCAAAATCAACATTTTCCTATAGAAAATGTTGTTAGATAAAATCACATTTTCTGAAACAAGAAAATGTGGGTTAAACAGTGTCCAGGTATACAAATAAGCAAGATTGTACATTAAAATAGCAACAATTTCAAATGCAGAGAAAGTCTTTTTATAGCAGTTTATCTATAAGACATTAAGAATGGTAGAACATTTCAAATCAATTAAAATATCACAATTATTTAAAAAATCAGATAACCACTTCAAAATACAGGCTAATTATTTATGCAAATTCATGTGTGTCTGAGATAGATATGTTGTGGAATGTAGTATTAAAACTACGTGTGTTTGTGAGAAAAAAATCCACAGCTCTTCTCTAGCTTTTTCTGTGCATGTCTGCAATGTGTTTTATCCTGCCAAGAATTATTTATGGGCTAAAATGTATGCTGTGAGGCAGATCATTATGATGCGTTTTATATGTTGTAGAAATAGATTACACCCAGGGGTTACCAACTACGTTCATTACAGATGAGCTGTGTCTGTTTGTCTTTGAAGCTTAGTAGAAGATGCTGAAAACTCTGCTGGCTGCTCACAAGCCAGGGATTATTCAGGCAACCATGTTACCCTGCAGGTGACTTTAATTCTTAGTGGAAAAGACTGTACTCTCTAGGGAAGGACTAAGTCACTCTGCAAGATTTAGCATTGTGGCTCAGCCCCTGTCTTTTGTGCTCAGTGGAGACAGCTAATTGTATTAAATTACTTATGGTGGCTTTGTGATACAGCCATAAGTGTCCAGTGGGAGATGAGCAAGGACCATCAATATACTGGACAGGGCTCAGTGAACTGTAGGTGTAAGAGGAAATAGTATATTTTTACATTAAGAAGCCATAGAATTGGATCTCAGAATGAATATTATGAGCATTCTCTGTGGCTCCTTCAGTTCTGATGGGAAAATATAGTGTTCCTAATCTTTGTGTTGGCATTAGTGAACTACAACGGATTTTTAGCATTTTCTGTATTGAATCCCAAATACATTGACTATTATAAGTCCCTAGCTTTACACACTGTTTTCTCTAATCTGAAAAGATTCCAATGAATTTATTAACTAGATAAATATAGAAATAGCAGTGAACAATGAATCTGGAACAATGTTCCTTTTCTGTGATTGGAAAATGAATTAAAAGTAGCATTTTCCCAATGCTGTCTCTCTTAGGATCTCAAATAAAACACAGGCATCTTCTTGGAGAAAACCAAAATTCTAATTTTGCTGATTACATGGGGCAAGATCAGCAACCCAGATATGTAAAGCACTGCAGTCATGTGGTTAGTTTTTATCATGGTCGTTTCCACAGGCCTTGGCCAGTATTAGGGTCCCATTGTAGTAGATGCTGTAGAAACATACATTAAAAGCAGTCCCTACCCTCCCAAGAGTTGATGAATGGTGAA